TACTTATTCATTTACTCAACTGACTACATTCAACTTTATGTGTAGGACTGCGCATTCATACGTGGATGCTTTTAAATTTCTACGTTCTTTCTATACGTCTATTGAAGCTACCTAGTGCCTGTTCTATTTACATTTATGTGTTGAGAGTGTGGCTCGCTGTTTATGCAAAGTATGATTTACATGCGAAATGTATTATCCAACAATGTTAGGAGATAAATGAACAATTATATATTTCCCGGGTTTATGTCGTTAAGTAATTAATGATCATTTGCTCTTTCCTTTTAACAACTTCAGCAATTTTGTTGAAAGAATTTATGTAAATATCTGGTTTTGTTACTTCTTGAACCAATTATTGATGTATTCTGCACAATAAATTATATGGACAAAATAAGAGCCATTAACGGTACTTTATACGAACACTAATAGAATTTTATTGTAAAGATTTTTCTTTTTGTCTTTATAAATATTATTATTTTTTTTAGTATCTTTTGTATTTCTTAATTTAATGATTGTCACAAAAGGCCACCAGCGCTCGAAACAATAAAGCCGCAATCATCCAACCGTCCGGCTTAAATATATACATATTTATATACATATTTATCTGCGCCCATATATGCAACTATACATATTTATACATATTTCTTAGAGTCAATAATGACTAAATATACACATATGCGCAAACATATATATGTGAGAATTAATTTAGACAAAGCAAATAGTAGTAACAATATAATAAAAACAACCACAAGACCGAACACGAATTAATTATGAAGTTATAACGTTTGTTTGTTGGGCTTTGAACCGTAGTGAAAGTCTCTGCATTTTATATTTACAATATATCGTATGTATCTTTAACTCTATTCTAGAAGACACAAAACTCCACTTGACGCTCACAACTTTGAAACGCGCATGCGCAACTCCACGGACAATTTAAGAAACGTTGCTGCCGTGAGCACACACTCGGCAAGACTGTTTCAGCCAACTCGGCTCTTAACCTGACTTAGTTAATCAAGCTAGGTTTGCGGTTTGGTAGTGCAACTTCTTATGACAGTGAGAAAATCATGGTTTCTTTCGGTTTTTTTTTTATCGCACTATATGTTATATACCGTAATAGCACTTGAAAAGATGTAAATACTTTTTTATTTAAAAAGTAAACTCAAAATATTGATAGATAGATTAACAGATCTAACAGACTCATTGATTAAATATTCAAACGATTACCCATCTACAAATGTAATCAGAAATTATTTTAATCAGTGCTAGCATGACTTATAGATCATGACAAACATACCAGATACCACGATAAATCTATGTATTCTACTGGAGAACATAGATTTTCTTCAACTAGGAGATTTGTCAAACTGATTACATTCATAATTACAGATCATTGACCTCAATCTACTATTAAAGATTTATGTAAAAACGTCAAGATCACGTAACCAAAGAAATATAAAATAGTTTTACTTCTCCAATAAAAGAGGTGATAATTAAATAGATTTAAGTAGTCCTTTTATTAGAGAACCTCAAACGTCAGTTTCTCAATTAACTTGTTTGGGTAAAATCGATTATAAATAAAATTCATAAAATTTGTTATTGACACTAAATACTTTATTAGAAATTCTTAAGTAGGTGACAATTCCAGCCCTATGTGGGTCTCAATATTTTTTATGTTCTGAATTGAAATACTTTTAACTATTAAGTTCCGTATATATTCTCAAAAAAAAGAGGGACATATTTGTCTTATTTTCAAAAGAATACTAACCCATCACAGACCAGACAAATGTCAAACAATAGAGTAACTTTTTTTAATGCAATGATCTATCAATTGTCACTTGTGAATTTTTTGTAACCCGTTTTGTTATCAGTTTTGTAATCCGTTTTCACAATTTTAACATATTCTGCGGTTTTTGAACTTCATATTTTAAAATAACTAACTTTAAATTTGACATATCATGCATTGCTAAGGTGTCAATGAAGGATACATTCGATATCATATAAACTACCTATGTATGTATATATTCTTGATTGAGTCAATTAATCTCCTTTCTATTCTTTATTAACAAAATGCAAATTATATTTTCTTTTGGTAATTAAACCAAAAAAAAAATTAAATAAAACAATTTTTTGAATTTTTAATACTTTATTACTGAACGTCTGTTCAGCTTTAGATTTACTTATAAACTAAAACTTTAAAATTGAAATTATTAAAATCATTCCTCAAGAAGAAACAAAGAAATGCGAAATTGCTTTTTTAGCATTTTGTAAAAAGCATTCTTGAGACAAAGTATTGTCCAAGGGATGCTTGTTTATTTTTGCCGATACAAATTATCTGGCAAAACGCGGATATTAGAGTTTATGTTATTTTTTAGACGAGGCATATTATATTTCAAAGCCGCACACCGTCTATGTATGACTATGAATTTATAGGGGTTAATAATTAGAATTAATTTTGACTATGAAATTATGACTTAACTTGCATTTTAATAAAATATATACTTTTTCGATATATTTATATAATACATTTTTAATTTATATTATATATAAATAAATTATTAAATAGTCTTTTGTTTAAGTTTAAAAAACATTGTAAAAAACGCATTATCAAAATCTTGTAATTATTTTCTTTTCTAAGCAAAGTCCTTTTCTTTTGTAAGTAAAGAACAACCGCCTAACTCATAACTAGCTCAAATTGCATGGTTGCCAAGGTTAAAAATTCGTCTATTGTGAACGACTTTTGGAAGTATATATGAAATTCCCAGTTAACTGTAACAAATACATTACTTTTTCTATTTTCTATATTTACTGTTAACAGGCATGAAGATTCATATTTTATTCACAACCATGTAAAAAAAATATTCTGTTATTCTATTATAATCTACATTACCTGTATTATATCTATTATAAATATTATTCATTATCGAAATATTAACTCTAGATTTCTTAACGTGTTTTGCATATATAGCCTATTAAAACCTCCATTTTGTCTAGAGTTGCCATCGTAGTAGTGCTTATATTATTTGTTCTTTTGCGACATGCTTACCAAAGAGAACACCTATTTTTGTTAAAAAATATTTCATTTATTTAAGTAAAAATTTCTATTGTTAACTGCATTTTTCTTACTATTGTAAATAATCAAACTACGTAACCAAAGAAAATCTACTCTGTACGTAACGTAAACGTACATAAATGTGAGAATCTGACATTTATTCCAATTTTTTTGTTTGATGCTGAAACATAAATATAACTTAAAATGTCGGAGTCTGATGTTGTAAAAATGAAAGTAAGTTATCAATTAAATTATAAATTAATTATGTAGATATGTTATTATGTATATGTGTATTTGCAGGTGGCCGATCTTAAGCGTGAGCTTAAATTACGCGGTTTGCCAATTACTGGGAATAAAAATGAATTACAAGATCGGTTGTCTAATGCGTTATTAGATGGTGAGATATCCCTCGAAGATGCGAGTGGGGAGCTTGATGAAGCTATACTTACAGATGAAGATGAAGGAATCCTAGGGCCTGATGAAAATGAATTACTCAAAAGCCCTACGTCACTGGAGCCGACAGTTGATGCAAACGATGAAGTAGCAGAAGCTGACACAAAACCAACTAAAGTTGTTTTGAAAAGGCCTCACGCAATTAACTCCAACAATGTAACATCATCCAGCGAAGACAATATAACAAATATAAATGAAAATGCTGATACATCGTCACCAGTTAAAATGATGAAAAAAGGTTTACATACTCCTATCACAATGTCGGACACTGTAACAACCACTGAAGACAAGAAAGTTGAGTGTGAAAAACCTAATGCAATATCTAAACTAAATGAGATGACAGCAGCAGAACGTCTCGCAAATCGAGCTAAAAAATTTGGCATTGCTAGCGGGGCGAGCCAACCTCAAAGTGATGAAAAAGAGCAGAAGCAATTAGATATACTAAAAAAACGTGCAGAACGTTTTGGCTGTGTAACGTCATCAAAAATGGTAGAAATTAGCGATAAAGAAAAATTACTTAAGCGTCAAGAACGATTTGGTACATCAAATAAAAATACAATAAAAAGTATTGGCCCAGTGCCGGTATTGAATTCTACAAATGGTTCCGATGAATACGCTGAAAAAGCACGTTTACGTTTAGAGCGATTTAAAAATACAACGGAGGCAGTTGCGGTTAAGAAAGATGAGCCAGTTACAACTTCTGGTGAAGTTAAAGAGGAATAGAGTTCAACAAATTACATATACATGAACATTTTCACATGGAAACTAATTTGCTTTTTGGTTACGGGTGTTTCTTTATCACTTTAGTATTTTTTATATTTATTCATATAAATATCTGCTTCTAATTCCATAAATATTCCATCATTTCATTTATTAGAGCCAATCACATTTAGTAACCTAAGCATTTGTTTCTATAAAAGTAAATTTATTAATTAATGATGTAAAAATTTCATTACTAACGAATAAAAAATTAATAACAAATGAAAACAATCAGCCTATGCGAATTTGTTTATTTTTGAATTTATATACGAATAATAAGCTAGTTGAATTTTCCAAAAATAACTTCATTAAAAGAAACTTATAAAAAAAAGCTCCCAACGCGAAGAATAATTTATCTATTTTTCAATAGGTAAATGAGTACGTATATCCAAAATATTTAAAAAAAAAAAAACTAAACTACAAACCAGTAGTTTGTTTCTAAACCTTTTGGGTAATTAGTAATCTATAATCACGATTTATAAAATTTATAGTATAATTATGAAGGCAGAGTAATAAAAGTGAATAAAAAAGTATCCAACAATTTAGAATACGGATTGCATATTTTTTATTTTAATAGTGAATTTACAAAAAATCACTCAGCTAAAAATTATTATTTTGTAAGAGATTTATAGATATATTTTTAAAATGCAAAATATCTACACATAATTAATTAAACTTATTTAAATAAAATAAAGGAGCTGTTAAAACTGAACAAGGAAATAAGTTTAAAAAATGTATATTCCTTTTTACTCGGCTTTAATTTCTTTAATAGGTTAATATATTCTTTAAATATTAAATTGAATTCAATTCGTTTTTTTTAGGTTTTGGTTCAGTACAGATTATTTTTTATGCTTTTATATAACAAATAAGTTTCTTTGTATTACAATAATTTTATACATTTTTTAAAATGAAAAGTTTTTTAACCATCAGATATTTTAATACCTGCTTAATACTTATTAAAAAGATAGTTCTCGTTACTTTCATCTAAATTATTTTCAAGTGCTCATCCCAACTCTGCACCAAAATCTAAACTGTGGAGATTGGAACATCTCCAAGGGCCCTGCTCTTTCTCTTACAGTAATATCTTGATAAAGAGGTTTTTAGAACAGTAGTGCACCACAACAACAAAAATTCATTTCCTATTATATTTGTCTTTTTGGCGAACCACACTGCTATTTCAAGTATTGCCAAATCATCAACAGTGGTATTGGAAATAATTCTTGTATTTAATTATTCATAAATAATTATTTGAGACTGCAAGTACCAGCAATCGAACTCAGTAACAGTATCTTTTGACTATACATTTAAGGGAACTATTAATTATTGAATTGGTCTTGTCTTATCTTATCTTATTACTTCATTTCCCTTCTACGGCAATATACTTACCTATTTTATTAACTTTCTCTCTAATAATTTATTCTGCATGATTTCTTTATTTTTTGTTATAAGTTTGCAATTAACATAAATAAAATATTAGTTATTCTATACATATTTTATGCGGCGAAATATTGCCAAGAGTGATCTTGGTTCTCTTGTTACATATTGCATTCAACTGCTGCTATTTTATTTTGTTTTTGTCAATGGTTCAATATTATAAAAATGTTTTTCTTAAAAATTAATATTCTTATATTGAGAAGGAATTAAATACGAATATTTTATTTAAAATCGTTTAATAGTAATAAGCGACTTGTATAGTACGTCCATCAATGCGAGAACCATTCATAATATCTATAAAATAGAATAAAGGAAAACATATTAATACATCCAACTATTTCTTAATTTTATAAAATAAATAATTACTTATGGCCGATTCAGCATCGCGCTCATGGAAGAAGCGTACCACGCCCAAATCGTTGCCACGAATTTCGGCAAATTTAACCTCTCCAATATCACGGAATTTATCGCGTAATGTCTGCCATGTGCAACTTAATGGTATCTAAAAAATATTAATAGAAAGTTATTTCATAAATTAATTTATTATTTAAGTTATATATCTGAAACTCTATTACATACATTTTTAACGAGAATTGTATCAGATTTCCGGGGATTATTTGGATTGATATTGCTAGCGTTGCCACCACCGCCAAACATATCAATATCGCCAGTATCCATACTGCCGCCACCACCTACATTACTTCTGTTACCGCCTCCTCCACCACTGTTATATGCATTAACATTTCCACCTCCACCGGTATTACCGGCTCCTGAATTAAAACCCGACGGTGTACCGTAACCGGAGCTATAGTTATTACCACCTCCAGTGCTGTAGTTATTCGACATGACAGCATTTGCAGAAGACATCGAATCGTCGTTACCAGGAACAGATTGACCCAAATTTAAGCCAAGATTGCTTAACGACGATGAGAGTAATGGATTTGATAGTGCACCTACAACATTTGTAAGTGCGGCCAAATTAAGACCACCGCCACTATTACCCAAGATATTGCCTTGTTTGTTTCCACCTTGTACTGGAGCAACTGGTGATGGTTGCACGCCTGAATTATTATACATGCCGCTGTTGTTGCCGCCTCCAACATTACCACCGCCGCCGCCACCGCCCATATTAGCAAGCATATTAGACTGTACTTGGGTTTGAAGATTCTGCTGTGGTGTTGGATTGTTTTGTTGTTGATTTATAATACTGGGCAAGTTACGTGCTACATCCCGTAAAGGTTCACCGTTAGGACCAAGTCCAATACCTACGCCACCTAAGCCCTCTGGCAATTTAATACCTTCGCCCTTGTCAGGTATGCGATCCAAACGTACTGTCATGCGACGTTCATACAACATTTGACGATCAAGCATAGATATAGCCTGTACAGCTTCTACAGGGTGATCATATTCAATTACAGCAAATCCACGGCTGTTGCCTTCTTTGTCTACGGACAAATCAACACTCTGTACCTTACCAGCCAATTTAAATACTTGTTTAAGTTTCTTGCCATCCACTTTATAATCCAGCTGTAAATATTGTATTCAAAAATAAGTTAGTTCCACTACATTTATTGTGCAATTTAGAAGATTTCAAGTCTTTTTTCTCGTTGGTAAGGTTGGAATTTTAAACGAAGGCAAAGTGAATAATTGAAAATATATCGTGGAATTTTTTGGAGACTTTGTGGAAACGAATTATATCAGCCACCGATATCTAAATATATATATATATTATATATATAGATATATATATATAGTGTACACAAATTTAAAAGTCAAATGAGCCCCAAACCAACGACAGAAATAAACGTGTTTCTAAAGCAGTAAAAGAACTTTATATAAGTCAAAAGTTAACGTAATATTGTTGAAAGAAATTCTAATCAAAATTACATTTGGTATAATATTTATAAGAAATTAACGATATGACTTTGAATTTAAAGACGAATTATATACACAATTATTTTTGAGTTCCAACCCTTTACGAGTTGAGCAAATCAATTACAAATTACAAATAGAATATTCCAAATATTTGTTAAACAAATAAAAACAGCTACATTTTTTCAATTGAAGCCCATTTCAAACAAGTGCACAATAACAATATTGTTTATAACAGCGAAGGTAGCAAATAATGTCAATACACCCAAGTAGTTGTTATGAGTTGGATGGATAATCGTTTCCAGAGGAAAATAAATAACTTATTTTTTGTTTTACCTTAAAGATTTTTGGTATTGTAAATTCTTCGTCTAGAACACAGCAAATACAAATTATTTAACAAAAAAATTATACTCACATTAGCAACAAAAACTTTATTATGCAAAGGTCCATTTATGCCAAGACTCTCCAAAAACGACGCAGAAAGACCATACAAATTGTAACTCGATGAATTATTAAAATCATTAGACATCATGTTAAAATTATTACGACCAGATCTAAAAGAAGAATTATCCAAACATAAGCAAACCGAAGTTCCAAAGCAAACTTGTATTTTTTTAATTGAATTATATGTAAACTTTCTATTATGATTCATGTTAGTTCTCCAGAAGGATAATTAACACCAAATGGATGTATCTTGAAGTTCCTTAGATATATGATGGAGTTGAAGGATACGAGCGACTTTTACAATTGCACATGCTATTGAGAAGACGACAGTTTCCCCCGCAAGATAAACATAAAAAATCTGCTTCACGATGGTTTTGTTAAATGATATTTCAGCTACGTTGAAAATGTTTCATGTATATTATATAGCTCAAAATATATGTTATAAAAAATTTAAATATGCGGAGTACATTTTTATATACTCGACTTTGCGATAAACGCTTATTTTTAATGAATTTCATGTGGGAACACAAAACAGTAAACAGCTAAAAAATTTCATATGTAATTAGACTCTAAAAATGGCACAATAAATTTCAGGTCGCGATGCAACTAGACCTATGATAATAATACAACCTGATATTTGGGAAAACCCTGGATTTATGGAAACTCTGTATACATTTCTGTAAGATTTTAGGTATGGCAAAATGAAGAAATACATTCTACCCAAACAGCAATGTTAATTGCAGCATATCATTTCTATAAAACAAATGCAATTCTCTAAAATTAATAACATTTTCATTGGTACTTATGCATTAACGTGGTAATGAAGACAATAACCAGTCTATGAAATGCGAATATTAGATCTAAGTTCAAAGATTAAACAAAAAAATAAACAACAAAACTTTTTGACACAGTTACACTGCCTCTTCGAGTAAAAAAATATAAGGACAATTAAGTATTATGGTAAAGTTATACTTTCTAGATTGAAAACAAGATACTTCTGCAACTTCTGTGCAGTGTATGATAATTTTCTATGCATTCTCAAAAATATTACCACGCAACTTTTTACAAATAGTTCTCAATGAACCCAAATGGTTCTATCGATTCAAGTGGATCCCAATTTAGATTGATTGCCGACCTAATCTAACTATATTAAATATCTTATATCAGCTAAATTGTTTAATAAATATTAAAAGCTAACTACATTTTCTTTGTTGAGTTTTGGTAATATTATTTCAGCTGAACA